CATCTGTCGACGGAACCTCGATCTAGCAAGGTGGCCGCCAATTTTTTAATTCTTTTATTACTATGTTTGTCATTTTTTTTGTTTCGAGCAGGATAAAATAGCACATATAAAAGAATTCAAGCCTTACTTTACTTTTTTATCAAGCTGCCTAAGTTTTAGACCAACCTACACTAACCTCAATCGTCTTGTTGCCCAAATCGTTTCTTCTATCACGGCTTCCTTACGGTTCGATGGAGCATTGAACGTCGATTTGACAGAGTTCCAAACTAATTTGGTGCAAACACTTTTCTTTAAAATTCGTATGAAGCAATGAATAGCTTGTCCGTTGTTTTGAGGTACCATACCCACGGATACATTTCCCACTTGTCACCTATGCTCCGCTTGTCTCTGCTGAACGAGCTTACCACGAACAGAATACTGTAGCCGATATGACGAATACGTGCTTCGAGCCAGGGAGTCAAATGGTCAAGTGCGATCCACGGAGAGGAAAGTATATGGTAAGCTATTAAACGCCTATTAGTAGTCTCATAGGTTGTTTAGTGTAAATCATAAGAAAAAAAATTCGCATTTTAGGCTGTCTGTTTACTCTACAGAGGCGACGTCGTACCTAAAGATATAAACTCGGCAATTTCAGCTGTGAAGACAAGAAGAACTGTACAGTTTGTAGAATGGTTTGTGAACTTAACTTACTAAAAGTTTAACCATTATCTTAAGAGAACTAGTTGAAGTTTTATCCTTAAAATGTAAGCTAAAAGGTAAAGCAGAAGCAGCTGAACTTCAAATACTGTCTTCACCTTTCAGCTAGATTATATGGGAATCTGAACGTTCACAAAGAAAGAAGGTGACCATAAAGAAAGTACACAATTTATATATTATTTGTACTTTTGGTCAAGGTATATTCATATAACTGACAACTATCAAACTTATGAAAAACAATAATATGTACAAGAAGCTGTGCTTATGGGATTTCAGCGTATGTGCCAAGAGAAAGTGAGGCTAAGAATCCAGTACCATCAAAACCAAGAAAAGTCCTTTAACTCCCTGTACGCTACAAATTATTTGTTTTAAAACTTCTTCCTGCTCAGAACAATGTTGAAACTATCGCTTTTGTAGAATTTGACCGATCATTTTGATTCACTCGAATGAAATTAAAGAAGAAAATTTTGTTTAAATGCTGCTATGATTTACAAGCGAAGCTTTTGACACTTTTTTACTTTATGCAGCCGATGTCTGTTAAGTTGATTAAGTTAACTTGACCCATTTAGGAGTCCAACTGGTTTCAAAGTAGGCATCAACTATCAACCACCCACAGTTGTGCCTGGGGGCGATCTTGGAAAGCAAACACGCTCAGTGTGCATGATAAGGTAAGAAAACAACAGTACTGTCTGTTTTTTTTCTTGAATCATAATTGCGTCACAGCAACACTTCCGCAATCGCTGAGGCTTGGGCTCGGCTAGACCATAAATTTGATCTTATGTATGCTAAGAGAGCATTTGTACATTGGTATGTTGGAGAAGGTAAGCCATTTTAAACATTGTGAATTTAATGACTGGGCATGAAGGAGAATGACTTACGTTCTATCGTTTAGGCATGGAGGAAGGAGAGTTCTCGGAAGCTCGCGAGGATATGGCTGCTTTGGAAAAGGACTACGAAGAGATTGGATCTGATGAATACTTTGATGATGATGAGACTTACACTGCCTCTCGTGGAAACAGTGCTTATTCAAGAAAATTCTAGAATTTTGTTTGTTTCAAGTAGTTACTACGGAGCAATATGTACTAATTAGTAT